AACCCATTCATGGTAACATGCTCAGAAGATGAATGGTTGAAGAATACCGAAAATGTGCTGAACTGAACTTTCAGAGGAAAAGAGGAAAAGTGAAGAAATCCAATTAAACAGAAGATCAGAAATTGTTGTATCAAAAACTCTGCTAAGTAAATTCCCATCTTATTTAGTTGAGGGCCCACTGAAGACTTTCATCCACGGCCGAGCACAGGGTGACCCCCCCCCCCCCCCGGCCCCCCATCCAGGGAGGGCCCACCACACTGACTAACCTACTCCCTCCTGGAGCCAGCAAACAGACCTTCTCTGTTCTCCCCCCCGTCCCCCAACACACACACACACACACACACACACACACACACACTCACACAAGTTGGCGTACACTTGTATGTCAACACATTGTGACATTCAATCCTTTTCCATGCCGCAAAAACAGCAGAGGGGGACAGATGCGTCCTCCGACTCGGCGGACAAAGAGACATTCAGAGGCCCGTAGCCGACACGCAGAATAATTCTTTTTTTTATCTATTCAGATTTCTCAGTGTTTTCCTACAATAAGGCGCACTGGCGGACTCACAGGGCGTGTACTTGAGCGTGCGGAACACTTTGCGCTGCGGCGTCACCCTCTTGATGTAAGGGTGGTCCTCCAAGGTCAGCAGGCTGCCGGTCGAGGCCTGGCGGATGTGGACCAGCTCAAAGTCGCTAGGGAAGTCGGAGGCCGGGTTTTGCCTCGGGACGATGCGCCACTCCAGCGCGGCGGCGTTCCGCAGGGAGCTGCTGATGTACAGGCTGCGAGCTTTGGCCGAGAAGTACCCCGTGAAGCCGATGATGTACTCTGTGGAGGAGGAGAGGGCAGAATGTTTTTTGATGAACAGAGCAACGTTTAATTGGGCACAGAGGGCGATTACAGCAGGATGCAGGTCTTCGCTCGCTGGGATCCAGAGGTGCTCGTGTGCCACTCGAGGGAGAGGAACACTCCAGAAAATGTCTTTTGTAAGGAATCCCTTTCCTAAGTTCTTGAGAGGGACGATAGAGGCGACCACGGCGCATGGAGTAGGGAGGGTTGGCGGCTCGAACCCCAGCTGCTCCATGTCGAAGTGTCCCTGAGCAAAGACACGCGACCCCTAACGGCAGCACACCACTGTGTGGGAGGGTTCAAATGCAATGAAAAAGTGGATAACAGCGTCAGCTAAGTGACATGTAATGTCATGATTGATTGAACAAAAAGTAAAAAGTGACTTTCTGTTACTTTGGCAGTATCTAACTTTCCTGTCAGAATAATAGCAGTTGAAAAGGAAGTTGTGTAACATGTCATTTAGCTGACGCTTTTATCCAAAGCGACTTACAATAAGTGCATTTCAAAAAAAGGAAACAAAGTCAGAAGAGCAAGAAACAAGAAAGTGCAATTTCATCAAATAAGCCAATTTGCTATAAATACAATTTAAGTGCTACAATTAGTTAGTCTTTTAGTAGGTAGAGTCTGAAGAGGTGTGTCTTTAGTTTGCGGCAGAAGATGTGAAGGCTCTCTGCTGCTGCTAATTACACCATTTTAGAGCAAGGACAGCAAAGAGTCGTGATCTGGTCGAGTGTTTTGCTCTCAGCGAGGGAGGGACAGATGCAGAGCGGAGAGTGCGGGTTGGGATGTCGGGTTTGACCATGTCCTGGATGTAAGCTTGACCCGATCCATTCACAGCATGGTACGTGAGCACCAATGTATTGAACTGGATTCGGGTAACCTTACTTGTGCCGCAGCTCTTTAATGAAATAGATCTACATCTTAAAGTTTGTTGCATAAAGTCATATTAAGTATTTTCATCCCTGCATTAAAAACCTCTTCCTCCTCCACTTTCATCGACTACGAGTGGGTGAAGCATCTGGCCCATCGAACTTCAGCAGTAACTGTTGAGATGAAGAGTCCCCACTCAAATCGGCAATTCATTTGAGGAAAGAGCAACGTTTCAAATGGTAATACAGTTTTCCCACCACGGTTTTGAGCTTTAATGACAGTTACAGATTAAAAACGTCACAAAAAACAAAAACTCGACGGACACCCCCCTAATTCTTTGGATCACCAGTTTAAGGTAGGTAGCATTGCCACACAAATATAATCATATTTATATTATCAATAAAATACCAATGAAAATGAAAATAAAGCCATTTCTACCAGTTTCTATTTGTTCTTACCATGTTCCACCACCTTGGTGGAGAACTCCAGTTTGAGGGTTAAGTCAGAGCAGTTGGATCCTGACGATGAGGGGAGGGGCTCTACGCTAGGGGCGTGGTCAGGGTCCAATTTGGCTCCTCCCATTGGCTCCATACCCACCAGAGGCACGAAGGCCACCAGCAGCCCAAAAAGCACGGACGCCGCAAGTGTGATCATTTTGAGTTATATATATATATATGCAAAATAGCGCGCACCATCAGTTTGACCCAGTCCGATGAACACTGAGCAGCAGGAAACCTGGTTGGGGGGGTCAAGGGTTGCCACGGAGCATCATCGGGTCCACAGCTCAAACGCTGAGGCCATACTGCAAGCGGCCTGAGCAGCTAGATGAATTTCTTTAGGCGTTTTCTCTCCATGGCGGTGGCCCGGGGTGGAGGTCAGTGGTGCAGCCAGAGTAGGAACCCGGTCGCCATGTTGAGAACCGGAGGAGGCAACCAGGGAGAGCAGCGGTGATGGTCGGGGGGAGCGTTGGCGGAGGAAGGCACTGCCGTCGATCTACAAATCAAACACTCCCATCAAAAGTTTGTTTTTAAAGAATTTGAGTTGACAAACCCGCTATATGTGTGTGTTATCCAACCGCCCGGGGAACTAGTTGTTATAATTACTTATTAATGAAGAAAGAAAGAGAGAAAAATATATAGATTGATGTGTTTAGCAGTGTAGCAACACGTCCAGATTCTACACGGTCCCAAATGTTTACTTTACAAACAGTCTTTTAATTACACGCGAGATATTTAAGCAAACCAGGTTCTCCTCTACAATCAAGCAGGTCTTTCAAGTTTAACTTTCAATGGCATCTTTTCATTGCGTAAAAGGCTGAAAAAGCCTGTGTTATTCATTCCTCTGTTCACCATGTGGAGAGCTTTTAAAAGATGTATTGTTTATTGAGAGAAATACATTTGTTTCCTCTGCCTGACCAAAAAAAGTGTTGCAGAGGAAACACTTTAACAAAAGTTCATCAAGAAAGGTTTAAATCCTCGTCCTTACTTCTGTCGCTTGTGTTTTGTTAGTCACATGTCTACTAAACCTGTTCCACCAACGGCTGAGGAGATTCATTCTGCAGGTGTGGAGACAACAGTACAAATACTGCTTCTCACAGGGTTGTAAAAATAGCGACACAGGTTCGGGTAGGGCTGTAAGAGACCGGCTGGGTCAACAGCACACCAAGACACAGAAATGGCATCGCACCTCTGGATAAATATAGATTAGTAGCGGGGAAAGGGCTTAGAGTGCTTGGGGAATAACTCTCAGAAGGCTCTACATGGGGGCCTTCTTGTTAGCTGGAACCCTCCGTCCTCCAAACAGTGACACCAAATCACAATAAATATCACAAAGATTAACTAACAAAAGGTCAAAAGCAGATGTTTTGTTGATTAAAATAAATTCCAGTCTCCAGTGTTCATCATATAAAAAGGTAACCAATGATCTGACCAGGTAACCAAGGAGCTGAACAGCCAACCAATGAGATGACCAGGTAAGCACCGAGCTACCAAATGAGCTGACCAAGTAACCAATGAGCTAACCAGGTAAGCATTGAGCTAACAAATGAGCTAACCGGGTAACCAAGGAGCTGACCAGGTAACCAGTGAGCTCACGACTGGCGTTAGCCGAGTAGCCACAGATGAAGGGTCCAGCTTGTCGGCATAAACAAAGCCAGCACGAACGGTCATGCTGGAGGCTCGCGTGCCTCTGAGAAATGTCGAATGTGGAAGAGCGTCATTTTCAAGCCACGAACGTGTCGATGTCGCCGAGGCTCAACGTAACGACAGCTATCTGTAGTACGGCTGGTAACGTCAACAAGGAGACGTGCTCGTGCATTTTATCACATGTACAGCGTCAGCTAGCTAGCATATTTTACGGTATCTGCTGGTGGTGTGTGTAATGATTGTACTCACCGAGCTTCAGAACGTCGCAGTTTTATGTGCGTTTTCTTCACTGTCAGTGTATTTACACGTTGATGGCTAACGGTGCTCGGTAGGTGCTCTATTGTGCACCGAAACAAAACCACTGACGTCTGGTTATGATGGGATGCCAGGTCGGGTTGGCTCATCCTCCTCAACCAAGGAGAACCGTTAGCCCATCGATACACAGATAATATACATCGCAAAGGACAGCATTGCCCCCCCTTAGCGTTTTCCTAGAAAGTTAAGTTGTAGCTATTCATCATGGTCCCTCTTCGCTTTCAAAAGCACATTTTTTCACGTTATGAAAGGCAACCCACCGGCCCTCCAGCCTTCACGCGCACTCTGCAGTTCTACCAGCAGAGGGCGCTGTTTACTGCCAGGAAAGCAGACTGGGAGAGGAGTACTACATCAAATACTTCAATCACTCAATCACGTGTATTACAACCGTAGCAGTGTGACAGAGCCGCGGGTGCATATTTAGAAATGTAAATGCTTCCCTAACTTTAAGGTTAAAAGCCATGGGGGACTTTTTAGGGGCTCTCATCTCATTTAACCTCTTTCATGAACTGTGATCGAGCAGTGAGTCCAAGGAAAAGTATTCAGTCCTCAAACAAAGTTGTATGCTGTTATGGTGTAGGACACACTTTTCTTTACTTTACTGTGTATGCTAAATTTGGTATGCTGTTAAGAATCTAAAGCTCCTCGAGACAAATGTTTGATATAAAATTGACTTCAAAATGTATTTTCCCTTTATCATTATCTCCGTTTTGCTCTTCATCATTTCCATGGATTAAACATGAATAGAAAACAGTTTATTTACTTACACCTCCTGTGACCTACAATCGTCTACAAGAAAAAATCTAAATGCAATCTCGCAGTCAGGTTTGAGTGTTTTATTGGCACGTACAACTCACCGTTTAAAAATGTTTAAAAAAAGTTAATGGTAGAGGAATCATTCATTGAGACACACAATAACAAAAGGAACACTTTTTTTTTTAACAAATGTACCGTCTTGCTGAGAAGCTGCTCATGAACCAGTTTGGTTACTCATTGACCGTCGCTCTTTTAAGCTGATATTTAAGAACGAGTTAAATGTGTTTAATTTCAAACAGATGCTCTAAGAGTCTTTTAAAGACGACCATGGCCGTCGTCCCTGTGAAGAAAACAACTTTACTGTGTGTCTGATGTCAAAACAACATTTTGGTGGGTCTTCCTCAATAAAACTATGAGAGAACACCAGTTTTAACGTCGGCCTCATTATCAGCCTTATATAAACAATTGAGTCACGCCCAGTAACAGCAGTGTCAAATCAGACTTCCATCACAGGAAAGAGGAAGATGACGTCGTGAGCATCCTGAAACAAGTAACTGAGGTCAGCTGACATGGCTCGGTTAAGTTTCCAGTACGTGTAAAAATAAAAATAAAAAAGACTTCACAACAGCGACACATCTTATAAGTCTGGGGTAGATCACAGCAAAATACTCAAGTAAAGAAGAGAAGACCCCACTGCAGCAAAGGGCTTTTTGTGGGACACGAAGACGCAAGAAGGATGCCATTTTAAAACATAATTCTATTTAAATGTATAGGTTAAGTGCTTTGCCAGATACAATTAGTAAAATGAAAAACACTCAGCTATTTCTAAGAAAAAGTAATGCTTCTTTGGGGAGATGTTCAATAATGAAATATCACATTTTGACTGAGTTGAGGATGAATCATTTCTATCACAACCCAACAGGAAGTGGCATTCATTAATCATTTGACTTGAACAGTTTAATAAGTTCAGAAGCTTTATTGTAATGCAGCCCTCCAAACTATACCTTCATATTAAGAAACACAAATCACTCAACTAGTCCCATTCCAGATTCTTACTTTTATATTGAAAGTAACCTTGATAGGCAAGGACGCGTAAGGGCACAAAGAAACAGAAGAGGACTGTAAGCTCTAGATTTTAGAATTCACAATCAAAAATTAACTAAACTAATAACGGTCTTTTGAGTCACCTCTCCACGCTCATCATCTTCAGTAGTTTCCCTCATGTCGGTCGTGATGGTGGTAAACTTCATTTAGGAAGGCGCTTCTGTTCTACAATCAGTGGGGAACTTGGGGAGCCGCTGCGAGGACGAGCGACATTTCAAAAACGCGGCGCATAGAGGATCCCCGCTCTGGTTGATGGACCATCCGCTCCTTAAGCTTCAAGGAAAACTTAAACGTGTTTCGGTTGGTTGTTTTTGTTGACGATGGCGGACGTTACGTCACCTGAGATTTCCTTTAAGATTTGGTCATTTGATGGATACTAAAGTGTTGTCAGAAATGTAATTTAAAGTCTATTTAAATTAGACAGTTATCGATAAACGTGAGCTTGTCCATGCTCAGCGGGTGGGGGTGACTGTGGAGCAGTTGTAGCTGTAATGAAGTCAGGTAGAAACCTGTGTTTGTGCCGTAACTAGGTTAGTTATTATTAACTAGTTAGTTATTTGAACCTGCAAAGCTCTGGTTCAGCCTCGGCTGTTGCAAGAGGCGACTCGACGCAACGTACACTGAAGTAGGTGGAAAATGCGGGACCCTGAACCGGTGAACGCGTTCCTAGAAACCAGGCGGAGGGAACACAGCAGGAAGTTCATGACCGAGTAGACACGGTCCGATGTCCAAAACAAAGAAGATCTAACGCAAAGCAGCTTCACAATCTTTGGACAGCTTCAGAAAAAGAAAATACATGACATCAACAGAGCTATAATGGAAACATGAGATAAGCTTGGAGTTGACTAAATAAAAAAAAAAAGGACAAGAATGACCTTCAAGGGTGCGAGTCTGTTGCAGTGTGCTTGCAGTAGACATGGTCCGTGCAATCCGCACAATAATTAATTCACAGCAATTTCCAAATCAGGAATGAACGCGGGTAGGCAGCCCTACTTCTAAAAGTATCCCTTTGTTCTTCGAGAAACTCCAGTACCCAGAACTCTGTTCAACAGATCCTTGTGGAAGGCCATTATCCAGTGACCGTTTGAATAGAGACTAATAATCGCGTCGACGATAATAAATAAATATGGAGAGACACAGCAATCGGAAGAACAAAAAGGGAGGAAAAAAAAAAAAGGAGCAGTGGAGGTGGCTCCACCCAGCTGGGGAAAAAGGTATAAAACCAGGTGAATGAATGGATGGAGAGATGATGTCACCATGGGGTGTGAAAAAGGTGGCTGGTGTGTCCTCGTCTGTCCTCGGCAGGACACACGCCGCCACGTGTGGTTCTTCAGGTCATTGTTTGACGTATTCTGTAAGGGCATTATGAGGCCGCTTTGCCCACCTGGCAGCAGCTCCGCACGCAGGAAGCTCTTGGAAAAGTCTGCCGCCCCCCTCAGCCGTTGTACTGCTGCTGGTAGCGGCGGTTGAGCTCGCGCAGCTCCTTCTCTCGCACCCGACGCGCCTTGTTGGACTTGGTGGAGCGGCTAGAGCGGGTGGACTGCGCCGACTTGGTGCTGTGGCAGCGCGAGGACGCCCGCTTCAGCAGGTTCTGGGAGATGCAGCGCTGCAGGTTCTTCATGGACGAGGACGCGGCCATGCTGACTACCCAGGGGTGCTTGATGGCCTGGCCCGCCGTGAGCCGCTCGCTGGGGTCCACCGTCAGAATCCGCTCCACGAAGTCCTTGGCCAGGTTGGACACGCTGGGCCACGGCTGGAGGCGGGAGACAAGACGTCAATTAAGACACTTTTTGGCGGTAGGTAAAACATATCCTTTTTGATGGCTTTGGTCTTCATTCGGGGGACATTTCTATTCAGTCAATCTCCACATAGTGTTATTACACAGTGTTGATGCATGTTTCAACATTACACCTGTACATACAGGTGTTAAAACTACTGCTTTTCATTCAATGAATATGAGCAATGGTGCTGCAGCTCAGCCTATTGGACACTAGGTGGCAGCAGAGAGATACTGAACTAAACAGTTTGATTTATTCCACTTAATGTGATAAGACATTTTGTAATCATTCAATCTACTTTATTCATTGTATGCAATTTTTCCACAGCATAACTTTTCCAAAATGTACATTATCGTCTCTGTGGCTTTGGGTCTATTTAGCACAATGACTGGTACCGAGTCACTATCGCGATACCAGCAGGGCCCAAACACATCTTTACTTTACTGTTTCAACTATACTATGTGTATTATTTAACAATTTGTAACTTTTTTTGAGCCAATTTTGTCTTTGTATTATTTATTATTCTTTGTTAAATTGAAGGACATTTAATTCATTTGGAGTGACTTACTGATAAATCGACTAACGGCGTCAGCTCTACGAACGCTTTCAAGTGGTATTTAACAATAGATTCAAGCTGCTGCTTTCCAATCGATTTAGAGCACTGAAAGGTAATGGATCAAAAGAAATAGCCAACAAATCAATAAAAGATAAGAGAGAACTTTGCGAGCAAGCCAACAAATAACTGTGGAGACTGGAGAAGTTTGCGTGCATGACTTACAGGATGCACGTTGGTGGAAATGTCAGCACGACCGAGCTCACAAGAAAACTCGACGTTCATTCAAAGCTGCTTTGATCACGTGTTTGCATTATAAAACCGGGTCAATGGACTACGTAATGTTACTTTACTCGTAAAGTCAACCCCAAAGTCAAAGAGCCGACCCAGAGGTCAGAGACGAGGGACTAGCATTCAACACTAGAATCCTAATGAATGCCAATGTGGCAACCGTTTCCCCATTTGAACATTAATTGTTAGAATTGGTCAATATAATTAGGGCAGTGTGTTCCTAGTGTGTCTCAGTATAATGTGACTTATTGTTTCAACGTGTGCCACGTCACTCTTCTTCTCCCCCTTTGTCAAACAGAAATTAGCTTTTATAAAAGGAAGTATGAACCCCTTTGCCCGTCGCGTAGACGCACAGTTCAGCTCTGGGCCAACGCAAGCGAGAGGATGTAACCACTTATTAAATATTACAAAACTGCTCAGTTGTTATTTACACCGGAGGGGCTGTTTGTGAGGCAAACATTAACCGGGGGCCCCCTTTTTGTAAAAGCTCACCAGCAACATAAACACCCCACGCCGCGCAGCAACTACATACACGGATCGGGCATGAATGATAAGCGTGCACGCACACTCCAGAGGGAGGGCGTGTTGACAAACACACGCAAGTGAGCGCGCCACGGTAAAAGGAAGAAGAGACATACATGGACGCGGGATGCGAGAGGAGAGCGTGTGAGACAAACCCTGTCGCCTCGCAGGAAAAAGCTACACTTCTTCTCAGCAACCTTGACCTTGACGGCGCCTCGTGCGGGATGTATTCCAAACACAGGGGAAGTGTTTGTGAGCGATAACTCCTCACCTCTCCCGAGAAGCTGTACTTCCCCTTGAGGATCTGCCGGTAGAGCCTCATGCGGTTGTCGTCCTCAAAGGGCATGGTTCCGCTCAGCAGGATGTACGAGATCACCCCCAGCGCCCACATGTCCACGGCGTTGGTGTAGGGCTTCCTCACCAGGATCTCGGGGGCGATGTACTCTGGCGTGCCGCAGGTGGTCTTCATCAGACACTCGTCCCCCTTCTTCCTGCTGCTGGCCAGGCCGAAGTCGGTGATGATGATCTTGGAGTCGGACCCGGGGTGGTAGTAGAGCAGGTTCTCCGGCTTCAGGTCCCGGTGGGTGATGCCCAGGGTGTGCAGGTACTTGACGCCGTCCAGCACCATCTGCAGCACGCGCGTGGCGTCCCGCTCGGTGAAGGAGCCGCGCGCGATGATGCGGTCGAAGAGCTCCCCGCCGGTGGCCAGCTCCATCACCATGTAGACGCGCTCGGCCGTCTCGAACACCTCCATCAGCTGGATTATGTTGGTGTGACGGACGCGGCGCAGGACGCACAGCTCTGACTCGCAAACCTCCCTCCCCTCCCGGTAGCGGGTCTCGATCATCTTGATGGCATACGGCTGCCGCGTGCTCTTGTGCTCCACGCGGACCACCCGGCTGAAGCTGCCGCGGCCGATCAGCGCTTTGATGTCGTACTTGGCGGTGACCCGGGAGTCAAACTTGGCTCGATATTTCGCCACCTTCTTCCGCTGAGGGTCCGATGGATCGGACGGGTCCTTTGGGGGCTGGGCGGAAGCGGCGGCTTGGGCCTGCGCCTGAAACGGGGAGGCCCCACCCGTCTTGCTCCTAGTGCCGTCGCCCCGTATGAAGTGCTTATAGATATCCGTCTGAGGAGGATCAACCTGAAAAATACAATAAAAAAAACATAATTAACACTTAGACACCAATGTACATATTCTTAGTCTATAATTTGTTTAGTCTGACCAATATGAGGCTTCTAAGGCTCAGACAGATCAATATTTGGCTGATAGTAATCATCCTTTACATGAATGAATCTGAAACAGATACCACATACTTTTTTTGTGGCTTTACTTTACTTTACTCACTATGTAATTGCTGTTGAGATTTTAGGATTTTTTAGAGTCGATATATACAAAACTAGTCAACGACAATTGAGAGAAGAATATATGGATTGTTCCTTAAAAAGATGAATCCTAAACAGGGGGGAAAAAAAGTAAATTTATTGATATTACTAATTCATCTTTTGATACATTTCTCAATAGTAATAAAAATTAAAACATTTTCCCAAATCCCCAAAAGACGCATTTCAACCAACAGTCGAGAACCCAAATATCTTCTAATTAATATCAGAGAAGATATGATGATCAATTATCAAAATAGTTTCTAATTAGGGTCCGTTGGTCGGTTTTTCAATTGCAACATCTTGTGACATTCTGGCACCAGATGTAACTAGTTTCCAACGACTAAAAACATTTGAACCCTTCCAATATTCAAACGCTGCAAAAACATGTCACCAATCATTTTATAAACTAATGGTGCGTTTCCACCGATCGGTACGGTACAGGTCGGGTTGGTACCCTTTTATTTGTGTCTCCACTGCCAAAAGTTATGAATGGTACCAAAAATCCGAGCCGTACAGTACCACTTTTTGGGTACCCTTCCGTTAGAGTACACAGTTGTTTGGTACTAAAGGGTGGAGCTAGACTCACTGCAGAGCGTTGATTGGTTGAAAGAGTGTCGTCATTTGCGCGTGCCGCGAGGGGAAAGACAACACACGTAACACACTTGCAGCATGTAGCCTTTGCTCAAACAAAGATTGTTGTCTCCTTGTGACAAACAGCCTCATATCGAGAAGCAAGAACAGGATCGGCTGTACGTCCTCCGTTGTTGTTTGCGGTTAGCTTTCAGTTTTTGCGCGATCGAATGACGTCAATCTACTTTCCGTCAATCTACTTTCCACGCCTATTAAGTTTACGTTATCACTACTTTCTGGAATACACCACGCCTATCAAGTAAGGGTACTGTTGGCGGTGGAAACGCTCGCCAAATCATGGTTAACAGACCCGACCCGACCTGTACCGACCCGACCCGTACCGTACCGCTCGGTGGAAACGCGCCATTAGTAGCCAATAATTTTCTACTTTCAGCTTCTCACACATATTACTGCTTCTTTTGCTGCTTTCTAGAAACAACAGCATCAGGGGCGCTTTCTTCCTCGACCCACTGACCTCTTTGACCAGGTCCAACTGAACATCCCCTGGAGGCTCCGGGAGGACCTTGCTGTTCCTGCACCCCATCACATCAGCCTGGCCCACTGCTCAGCCAGCCGCACAGGCCACCAGGAGACCTGCCTCATCACAGCAACAGCTGATCCAACAGACTGTCGGTGTCCAGCATCCAGGCCGCACCCAGGCAGAGGGTTCATGAATGAAGCCGGTCACGCCCACACGAGCCCCCCGCAAGGCGGCATTGGCAGTCGCCCCTCACCAACGCACCCGATACACCCGACCTGAGTCCAGAGTAAAGGGTGTAGGGCGGCTGGATTTATTGCGGGGCGAGCGCGGGGCGAGCGCGGTACGCGTGCGTCTGCGCGGGGCGGCACGGATCGGTGGGGGTCTGGGTACCTCGAGCCCCTGGAAGTACCTACCAGGGCACCATGTCAGACGGCTTACTGTGTCAGGGAGCGATAGAGGTTCTATCAAACAGCTGAGAGTGCGGTCGCCTTTAGGAGAAGTGCGGATTAACTACGCCAGGATCCTTTTTTTTCCGGGATGGGGGGCTGTAATGTCAGCAGCGGTCTTGATACAGATATAGCAGCTCCACTGGAGGACGGCAGGCCGGAGAACAGCGGAGGGAAGCTCTGAAACACAGAAATGAAACATGAGAGATGGTGGTTTTAAGGCCCAAGGGCCAATAACAGAGAGGCAGATATCTAAAACACATGATGAGCAGCACTGAAGTCACACTGCGTTTTCCTGTGGTAGTTGTGTGATGAGGCCATTATTGTGAAACCAAAATATGATCACAGCCATTCAGACGTGTTCTGAGAATTCAGAAAAAAAGAGGGAGACGCGTTGCCATTGGTCACTTATATCCGGGTATCAAGAGCTGCTTTTTCAATATTGATAAAACCTGTGAGGGCAAAAGGTTTTAAAACACACCCCAGTTACAGCAACGGGACATTAACGGGAAACACCGCTAAAAACGGTACCCGTGAAAGGACCCGGGACAACTTTCACCAGAAAGTTGCATTCAAGTTTTGGTAGAATGAGAAAGAAAGAAAAAAAAGTCCAGGCCCTACTCATATCGATGTTTTTCTCTGCAGCCGAGACCCCGTTGGACCGTTATTTCCGGCAGGACATTCCTCGCAGACCTCCACCCTTGACCCCGACGCCGCCAGCGCGCGAGCGGCTGACCCTCCTCACCTCGTTAGCGGTTCCGAGGGCTCGTGGCGTGCGAGCGTGCTAACCGGACTAGCCCGCTAGCGGCGAGCAGGGCAGGACTCCCAACTTTTTTTTTGCCAAATCCAGCCTCCTCACCCCTCTCTCACTCGGCGGCGCGCTCCGGTTTCACCCCCGCAGTTTCACAACTTTATTCCCCCAAGTCGAGCAAGTGAAATCCGCCGCTTCACCTGTCAGCGACGCGATGCGTCACTCCGCCGGTGAGTCATTGAGGCTCTGTGGAGAAACATGGGAAAGGATGTTTTTTCGCCCCGAGACCGCCGTCTCACATCCACAGGGAAGTGGAAAGACGCACGCCAACGGGTTCCGGTGTCTGCTTTTAAAATAAAACCACGAGCGGTGTTTTTACGATCATGTGATGTTTTTCCTCCTTTGCTTGCTTGTGCTCTTATTTTTTTTTAAATTATTATTATAATTAACAACTTAAACCAAACCGCATATCTGACCAACAAATACTGCTGAGGATAGTACTAACTTGGACGGAAATGTCATATTCTCAAGCGTGGTTACATGGATTCGAATAACTGGCTTAGTCGGACTGAAATCGAATGATCCGTTTCATGTAAA